CAAACGGGCATAGCTGTGTGACAATAAAACTTTATTTACAGAAACAGGCAGCGGGCCAGATCTGGCAAGTGGGCCAGAGGCTGCTGACTCCTGTTTTAGAAGAAAGCCCTTCAACCTGAGTCTTTTTTTCTCCCTGCTCAAGCTAGCTGTCAAATCAGTAAACCGGCAAACAGCTCCCAGATGAAGATACAAACGCACGTCAGCAGCTATGGTCCGAATTGAGAGCTCTCAGAAGAAAGTCTCGAAAGCAAAACCTTGCAAGAAGAAGGTTTTCCCTCACATTAAAAGTTAACGTTTTAAATGACTTTCCCTTAAATAAATAGGTAATCTTTTGAGCCAGCTAATCCTTAATAAATTAGAATCTTTACACCACACTGAACTGAGGGAGCATCTGTGTTCCCACAGCCATGTCCCCTCACCCTGAGCCTCTTTAAAGATCCATTGATTACTGCCAAGCCTCCATTGGTGGGATTAATTAATTTATGAACTTGTCATTACAATTCATTGATTAAAACGTCCTTTCTTAAAGATTTAATTATGCCCAAAGATAAAAGATCTGCTAATTATTGTCCTTTATCTAATTGAAGTTTTGTATTACAAATAAAGTTCAAAGGTTTAAGACAGTTGCCCTTTCAAGCATTTGGGCAAAGATGAGAATTTAATTAGATGCAAGACACCATTCTCTCTGATCTATTCTAATGGGAGAGACACATCAGGCTGGACAAGATGTCTGGTCAGGGTGGGAAGACCTGGAAAATCTGTCAGCCTTTCTAGTCACAAAAATGGTTTTTAGCAAACAGCTCCAGTCACATGGGTTGTAGAAACAGTTTAGGTTGCTGGCACAAGCAGAGTTATACATTGTGTCAAGAGCAGGAATTCTGCCAACCAAAATTACGCTGTGTATTTAATTTTTCTTAAAAATACTGATGCATGAAAAAGTCTACAAAGACTAATTTTTTTACCTAAGATATTATAATAGGAAATCAAAGTTGTTCAGTAAACAAACCACTGAGGGGTAGGGAAGCAAGTCAAAAGGTATAAGCACCCAGAGAGGTCTGGGTTTGAATCTAGAAGGAGGATTAGTGGGGGCCCTCCTTTCCCTGGAATCGTGTCTCCATGGTGATGGATCTGCATGGAAGGAGCTTGCAGCCTCTCTTGCTCTGTCCACAGAGGGGTGACTTGGACCTGTGGGCACTCATTGGTCCATGTTTGATGACTGAGTAAAGCCATTCTATTTAAAGCACTAGATTGTGTTTATTGTAAGAATGTAAATTAAATATTTTATATATGAAGTTCTGTGGCTTTAACTGCCTCTAAATCAGGTTCCTGGCATCTGGGAAGAAAACAAGGGAAGACTGATTTGGATGAGGGGGAGGAACTGGCACATGCAAAGATCCTGTGGCTGAAGGGAGTGTGGCTCATTCAAGGGGCTCAGGAAAGATCTAAATGTGTAGAAGGTAGAGGTTAGGCATATCAAGGGCTATAAAGGCCACGATAAGTCTTTCATAGTGTAAGTCTAATCAGGCCCTCCTTTCAATTTAAAACCCTTCAGGAACTTCACTCCAGGAATTCCTCTCCTCGCAGCAAACTGCTCTCCAATCCCTAACTTTCCCTTGAGCGGACTCTCTGAAAATCTTGATTCATGAGGAGAACAAGGCGTCAGCAAGCTCTGTTGGCCATAAATCAATAACCACATTTTCCCATCAGCTTTACAACATTAATGGTGATCTTTTCATATCCATCTCTTTCATTCCTATGTCTATCAATTTGCGAGAGCAAGGAAATATTGTTAAGTATGATCCAGCTAAAAATCCCACCATTTTAACAGCTGTGTGACTTTAGGTATTTTGCTTCACCTCTCTGAATTCCAGGTTCCACACCTGTTACAGTGAGGATAGTAGAATAACTCCCTTCATTGGGCTGTTGGAAGAATTCAGTGCATTTAAGATACGGTAGCTGGCACCCAGTAAGTGCTCAATGCACAATGACTATTAATAGCAGGGTCCCGATCGGGGAAACAAGAAGAACAATGTAAGGTCCCCGACCTCAAGAAGTGCACAGAGTGTTATTTCCACACTTGGGATGTTTTTATATTGATAATCCCATCAAAATCTGCCCTTAAGAGGACACAGGAAGCAAGTGACATTGGGTATCAAAACAGTTCATGTTTCACCGCTGCTCCTTTTTAAAAACAGAATTCACTCGCTCAGCAGTGTCCCTCCGCCGCTGTCTCCTGAGACTGGAAGAGAATAGAGGCTCTGGGAAGGGAAGACCCCTGTGCACTCAAAGGAGAACCCATTGGGTATCAAGTCACAAAGGTAAGTTTTTGCCTAGGGAGGTGGGGGGGGGGATGGGGAGAAGATTAAGAGAAGAGAGCTAAAGCCATTCAAAATGGGTCCAAATGGAAGCCTCTTCAGGAGAGAGAGAAATGAATGGGGTGAAGGCGGGTGACTTGCTATCCTATGCAAAACAAGGTAATCAGGGTCAAGAAGAGAAGACCGAGACAGGGATACGACAGGTGCAGCCCCTTAAAGTTGCCATAGCAACTAGCAGGGAACAAATACATTCTTTGTTATGTGAACGTGCGGACAGTGTCATAATCATGGCTGACTTTTATTGAGCTCTTACTAGGCACTCCATATGCCTTATCTCACTTAACATTCCCAACAACTGTCTGAGACAGCTGCTATTTGATTGTACCCACTTTACAGATGAGGAAACTGAGGGTCAGAGACGTTAAGCTTTTTTCCCAAAGGCACAGAGCCAATGGGTGGGAGAGCCAGGAGTCTAGATGCAGTCTGACTCCAGACCCCCATGTTCAAAAGCCGATTCTGGATGGTTTTGTGAAGAAATATCTAACAAGTGAATCACTGGCTTTCTGACACAGGGAGTGCCCAGCCCCTGTCAAATAGAGGCTGGGCCACACAAGGGATTATAAATGGCACCACATAAAATAAGGTTGAAGTTTGCCCAAACCGCAGCTAAGCTCTCTTCCTACCCTGAGGGTCCATGACTCCAGAAGCATTCCATATTTCTTCCCCAGCAAACCTCAGGATTTCGCTATTAGAGGTACAGCTCGGGGGATAGAATCCCCCCAAAATACCAGCAAGAGCAGCATGTCCATCTCTAGGCAATGAGATCGAACACAATCATACAGAGGAATACTATTAATCCATCAAAAACAATGCTGCAGACATATGAGGAAGTGTCTTCAATATTGAGGAAGATTATGATATACATAAAATATTACACATATTGCTCTGGTTTTGTTTCTCTCTCATACTTTACAAACCAGGCTGAGGACACATTTCTTTATTGGTGACCCATCCACGAGGGTGGGTGCTGCTCCAATCCCCACTCTCCAAAGGTGAGCGGTGCCTGGGCTCAGATGCCCCTCCTCAAGTCTAACCCTTGTGTGTATCAGAATCCTGGCCCCTCTGAGCCCACCCCCGAGCCTCGGCCTCGATGCTCCACCCAACCCAGACCTTCCCAGTTGTCACCCTCGTTGCTAGCCTGAAGCCATGCCTCCTCTTTGTTTGGGTTGTTGACCTGGGGGTTTTCTTGTTGTTTTTAATGTGTCTGCTTGCTTTGTTTTTGTGTCTTAACTCTGAACATAATCCTACCCTACCTAAAAGAGGTGGAAAGGCTTCCCTTCTTTGCCTATGATGGGATGTTTGGGAGGAAAACCATAATTAAGTCATGAGTGGAGAGAGGCAACACTGAGGATTGGGACAGCACTGTGGGGGTGAGCCAGAGAGAAAGCCCCCTCCTGAGGCAACACAGAGCCCACCATGCAGGCTGACTCTTGACTCCAGGTGTTTGCTCCAGCTGCCAGGGCTGGTGATCGGAGTGGGGACGAGATTCATGCTGTCCCCAAGTTTGGTTACTTCCTGGGCTGTTCTGCTGGGGCACCGGACCTAAGAGGCTTCCAGGATGTTCTGACCAGAGAGGATCCCTGGACTCAATCCTGAAAGTCTGTGGAAGCACAGAGGAGACCAGGCTGCTAGTATCCTGCCCTCATCCAACATTGCACTGGCCTGGCTGCATCTCCACATAGCCAGGCAGAGCCCTCTAGAGCAGGAACGGTCAACAGCTAAAGACAACCTGGGAGAGCATGGCTGTGGGGCCCTTTGCCCAGCCCTGCAGGATGTCCTTCTAGAACTTTCTTGACCTCAAAGATCAGTGCCCACATGATCTTTTCCATCTGCAGCCCACAACTTCCAGAAGCACAGCGGATGTGCCTGGGCTGTTTCACATCTCAAAGCTGTCACATGGGTTGGGTCTATATTTTTAACCTACTAAGAAAACAACTCGATATTTGTTATGAATTTAAGAAACAACCTTATTAATGGCATCAAGCTATTGAGCAGCATTCACCGACTGTCGATTTACATTATGTAATGGAATGTGAAGCCGATTTCCCTGTGTCACACGTGTAATGATTGAATTATCAGCAGATGGAAAGTTGTTCTGAGCTGTAACAAGGTCCTATAAGGTGCTAATTAACTTGGCACCTTTCTAAAGAAAGAACTTCTGTCACATTTTGATAGGAAATGTTGCTACTGAGGGATACTTATTGGTCCTCAGTAGCATACTTAAGACTTATTGAGAGATTTTTTCTTGTTGTTAGTTCCTGAGAAGAATGATAATGTCATAAACTTACTGATTCTCCCACTTGGTCCAAAACCCATACTGCAACAACCTCTATTGATTCTAAAATAGAATAAATCACCTTTGACCTGGCCAGTGTGGCTCAGTTGGTTGGGCGTTGTCCCATATACCCAAGAGTTGTAGGTTCACTTCCCAATCAGGGCACATGCCCAGGTTGTGGGTTCGGTCCCTGGTTGGGGGCGTGCAGGAGGCAGCCGATTGATGTTTTGCTCTCACATCAATGTTTCTCTCTCGCCCTCTCCCTTCCTCTCCCTCTAAAAATGAATTTTAAAAATCTTAAAAAAAAAGAAAGAAATGTCCTTTTATCAATAATACAAGTGATTACTCACATTGGTGTCTACAAGTCCTTAGAAACTTCCAGCTTCCTGTAATCTCTGCTGGGTGGGAGCTCAGAAATGCTATGTGGTCACTCCATAGACTTTGCTTCTTTCTTCTTCATAATGTTAGAATATGCCAGATTTTCTAATCTGTAGGTAGGGGTGAAGGCCAAGATCACAGAGTGCTCAGGCTTTACAAGTCCTTATTTTCTCGATCTGCATGGCTCCTTAGTGAACCTCGACTATTATCTGTTTCCTCCATTCAAATAGTGACATAACATTTTTAAATTATTTTAAATTTTTTGAAGTGATAATTGCACTGTACTTATACTTTTACAAGATACTTTTGAAATGACAAGATATCGTGGATTTGCCCTAAAACAATCCAATGGTAAGAAGGAAGTAGAAGATATAAATGAAGAGGCCTTTTGCTGGTGCACACATTCTCTTTGTAGCAACCAACATGTAGATACCTCTGCAGCCTGGCAGCCACATGCCTTACCTTTTCCAAATTACATTTTAAATATGCTTCCCTAGTCTCCCTGAAATTGCACTTACACATATCAGACAACACAGAATGTACTCCTTCCCCCCTCTCCACTCAAACTTCTTGGTGACTTCTTATCACTTCTTGTCATGGACACACAAATTATAAGGGGTAGGTGAAACCTTAAATTTCCTTGAGTATAATTGGTCCATTTTACAGGTAAGGAAATTGACTCAGAAGATTCAATTTGGCCACAGTTAAACAGCTTCTTTCCTTTAGAAGGCTGTTCTTGATGGTCCCTATCAGTCACCATAATCACTTTTATAAGTGACTTAACTATCACTATAATCAAAAATTATCCATATGAAAAAGTGGGACTGTGCAAAAATGTGAAAAGGGAACACACCTGAGACTGACGTATCCTGAGTCTATAAAGGCCCTTGATTCCATGAGTTCTGGGTTTTGCTCATCTGTTCATTTTTAATGTATTTGGCAAAATAATACTTAACTAGGAGGTAAATGTCATGAGGGAAGGACTTTTCACAGATATGCCCCCTAGAGCCTAATACAATCCTTGCCACATAGTAGGTTCTCAAAACCAGCTGTTGAATAAATACTTATTGAGCATTACTTTAAGTACTCTATGTGAATTAATGAATTTAGTCCTCACGAATGCCTTAGGAGATAAATTCCAGTATGCTAACTTCATAAATGATAAAACTGAGGCAGAAAAAATCAAAATAATTTGCCAGAGATCACATGGCTACTAAGTCTTGGTGGTGGAATTCAAACCCAAGCAGTCTGGATCCAGAGTGTACACTAGTAACTAAATAGGGATGGTAAGTGATAGATTACCAGTTACCAACAGCTGCATAAAAAAGCACCCCAAAAGTTAAGAGCTTAAAAACAGCCATTTCATTTTGGCCAGGAATTCACGAAAGACTCAGCCAGGGAGTCTGTCTCTGATCCATGTGGCCTAAGGTGGGCAGCTGGGACTGGAGGAATCTATGTCCAAGATAGCTTCTTCTTTGGTGCCTTAGCAGGAATGACTGGAAAGCTGGGCACAACTGGAGCCCTCTGTCTCCACATAGTTTTGAGCCTGTCCACATGAAATTTAAGGATCCCAGAAGAAATACTTTAAGAAACAGGAAACGGTGCCTGAGCCTGGGTCTGGAAACTGGCACAGGGTTACTTCCTCCATATTTTACTGATCTCAGCAGTCACAGAGTTAGGACCCACATCTCTCACTGGGATTTGCTTTAAAGAATCTGTAGCCACTTTTAGACCACAAAAATGGAAGTCCAACCTAGTTTGGAGATTCTGCGCACTTACTTCACATAATTTTATTGACACCTCATAGTTCAGAATCACAGTTCTAGAAGAATGCTTTTCGACAATGAAGCATTGATGGCATCCACATGTTAGAAGACCGTTTTGTCACTGTGACAAGGCTTCATCATTACAGAACCTAAAGAAGCATTTCCTGATCTTAACACAAATCTCTGCAACCAAACTTTAATTACTTTGATTGGGGGAGGGGGAGGGTGTCCTCAGTCATTTTAATGTGCATTTTATGCTTCCAGATGCTCTATCCTAGTTTTCGAAGGAAATGTTTCTCATTATCATAAAATTTACATGCTCATACATTTCACTGAAAGACTTAATCTTTTTAGGTGATAATAAACAATTCAGTAATTTGGAGGAAAAACGTCACAGAAATAATTGTGAAAAGGTACTATAGAAATCTCCAGGAGAAGAGAGGCAGGGTGATTAAGTAGGAAGAACAAAATTCAATTCTGTTCTTAATGCATCCCACATCTTGAAAAGTTTGTTCAACCCCTAGGAACCTAAGTTTAACCATATACAAAATAAAATACTTTTTTGGATAGAGTCCTCAACTGTGGCTCAGAACTTCTTACCTTACTTCTAAGTCCTAATTCTACCAACAACTGGTTCTGTAAATTAAACAAACAGTATTTCATCTCTCGCATTTGATAATGACGATGATAAGTCAGTATGTCAGAAACAGCTCACTGAATAGTCTTTGTGTGGCCCCATATTTCTCACACTATCCTGCAGTTAGGACAGGACCACACAATTAGTTCTGACCAGCAGGATGTGAGCAGAGAAGAAGTAGCGTCCCTTCCAGCCAGGGCAGATGAGAACCCAGGCGTTTAACTTCCTCTAAATATGGTTTCCTACAGCTCTTTATCTATATGATTAAGAGTTTGTTCCAATTGATCTATAAGGACTTGTCACAGTCTAAAATATTTCGTTCGCTTTAACAGCTTTTGTGCACAAAATTTTGAATTTGGAGATCGGTGTTCCACGTTCCACAGGTCTACATTGACAACAGAAGTAACAGGAATTGGATCTATATTGATTAAAAAGAAATCACACGTATTTTCTCCCAGCCCCACCCATGTTCATTGAGTTTGGGATTTTTCTTTACGGGTTGATTGATTGTTATCAAGCAGTGCCCGGTTCCATCAATTCCAAGCCGATGCATTTAAATGGAAGGCATCGGATGTGAACCAGTCAGATTTGTTTCATCCTTGATCAAAACTCACTGTGCTTTACAGACACCGTTTCTACAGATTCCAACCTAAAAGTAATCTGAATAATGGGAAAGTGCCCCAGCTCTTGCTCCCTGCTAAAATACCGGAGTCTGTTTTCTGGAATCCGTTGTTTGGTAGCAGCCAACCTGTTTGAACTTTAGACCACTTAATAAGCCTATGTGTCACTCTCCGGAAAAACTCTGAGTTTCTACCACTCTCTTAAAAGGGGAGAGCTGCAGTAAGGTCTGGGTCTCAAAAACACCAGGACATGAACGGGAATATGAAAAAAAGAGGGTGAGATGAAGTAAAGTTCTACACGTGGAGTAGTCACCCCCCTTTCTGCACGTTCAGAATGTCCTAAAGGCAAGTGTTTACCTGCAGCGAAAACAACCACAAGGGAAAACAACGGCAATAACAGCAGCCAGGACTCTTCCTCTTAATAAAAAACACACATGTGAATGAGCAGGGAAAACGCAGGGCAGCCAGGGTGTGTGCAGTGTGGACGGCACTCGGCCTGTGGGCAGGCGTTAGGAGCTCCGGGGTGGAATGTGCAGATTCCTGCCGACTGCACCGAGGAGAAGCCTGAGAGGCAACCAGGCCCTCCACGCCCAGCTCCACTCGGCCTCGCTATGCCTCCTTCTAACAGGTGAGTGAATGAGAACCGCCCTGCCAGGAAAGGGTAGCAGAGAAAACAGAGTACACGGAAGCCTCAACTTCATCTTCAAGAACATTGGGAAAGTACTTATATCCATAAAATAAGAATGGGGTGTTACACAAAGGTAATAACCCAAGAACACAGAAAGACAAAGTAAAGGGAATCCCTCAGCACACAGCACAAAGTAACAAGCAGGGAAACTGTAATAAGGAAGCGTCTACTTATATCCATGCTTATAAATAAAGAGGCAAACATCTGGAAGGAACATACCAGCAATGAACTGTTTGCCTCTGGGGAGGGGGACTGAATTGACTGAGGGTAATTCATCGTTTATGTTGTACGTTTCTGTATTATTCATATAAGCATTTATTAATTCGTAACTTAAAATGTAATCTTTTTTTAATCTCACTCATATCAAACAATGTTTAAGAGACCGTTACCACATAGACCTTCCAACTGAGTATATAAATATGGTGACCCTCTGAGAAGATACTCCTACTTCTGTTTATAAGCTGGTCTTTTTGAGGATTTCCTTTAACTGAATTAATGCTTTAGAGCAGACTTTCTCAAAATGAGGTTTTCCCCATGCACTTACTAAACTAGAATTTCTACAGATGAGGCCCCAGAGATTGCATCATAACAAGCCTCTCAGTGATTCTGCGTACACCAAAGTTATGAGAACCAGCATTTTAGAGTCCAGTTTTGCCTGAGACAACTGATCACACTGAGCCACCAAGATACTGCCCTCCTCAGGAAGCCAGAAGCCTCCCTTGCCAACATTTTCTGGAGCTGCCATACAGTTCTTGTGATTTCCAGGTAAATTAATGGTTGCTGGACGGGGCCTCCAAATCTAGATTTGTAGATCTTGAACTCCAAAGGCACTGGGGGACTGAAGGATGCTCAAACATGCACCGAATTTGGATTTTCCAGATTAGAGAGGACAGTAAAGGCATAATTACAGTGTTCTGACACTTCTGGCTTGAAGTGGCCCAAGATCTTAATCATGCGATTGGATGGCTAAACCAGGAACCACCCTTTTTAAGATCAGTGTCATCACCTGATGTTTCAACAGAAACAAAACAGGCTCCCAAACCCAACCAAGCCTGGAATTCAAGCTCTTGAGATGCTGAGCTTTTGTTTACTCCTGAATAAATTCAATAAAATGGAGTAACCATTATAATAAATGTAGACGTCACTAATTACAACACTAGATTTTAAGTGCAATGCTAGTGTCTCAAGTGGCCTTTAAAACTAAGTAAAATCACAGCCAATTCAAATTTAATTAAAACTATCAGTTTAATTTAGTTTGCTTTTACAATAAAAACTGCACTA